TGGTGTTTGCTGAAAAAAACATAAAGGTGGGGAGTTGAAGTGGTCTTGGAACAACTTCTTTGTAAACTAGTGAGGCATAGGATACACAGACTTATCGTAAGATCAGGCTTGTTTTCCAAGTGCAGTTTACTGTTTAAGGTTTTAACATTTGCTATTATGTTATTTAGAGGAACAAATAAGATAAAACCAATGACGAGCCAAACATGTTATTGTAAGGAGTTGGGGTTTGTGCAAGAATAAGCCAACTCTGTTGATAAAGTTGGGGTTGACTGTTTTCTTGTTAACAGGTGAGCCTTCTCAGCCCCATCACAAGGTGGATGACAGCCATACAATGGCACTTTGAAGAACACCTCCAAATGGCATTCACTGATACTTAAATGAATATGGAAATTAGTAAGAGGTTTATTTTTTTTCCTACTACATTCACTCACTGTATTTGGAGGATGTGATCCCCATAACAAACTTTCAGGTATCATATGGCTTCATGTAACATCATTTGCATTTATACAAAGAATGTCATGTTTTGAGACAAACAGTCACGGCTGTTTGTCTCAAAATATCACAGTAACATTTTCTTTCCACTCTTTCTACTCTAACATTGCTCTTTCTTCTGCCTTCTTCATTAGGAAAAAAATCAAACCCCCAAATGCTACTCTTAAGGATAAATTCTTCCTTCTGTACTTGCTCTTGCTGCTTTTACTCACTAGGTCCATGACATTTAAACTCCTATTTGTGCTATATAATTTTAATGAAGGCCTAAATTCTTCATACGTTGCCAGCAACTGGGCTGGAGCGAGCCACAGCAAAGCTCCTCCAGATAAGAGAAGTTGAATACAATTCAAAGTGCCTGCAGCTCTTGCCCTCCTGTTAGCCCTTCCCTACTGAGTAGTATGGGAGAAGGAACTCCTGGACAAAGTGGTTTGGGTGGAAAAGGAGTTTAAGCAGTGAAAAGTTTTTCTCTTTATTAGGAAGAAGAGAGCCCAAAAGTGCTGCACCAGCAGCCTGGGCAGGAGAAGAGAGCCAAGCAACCAGAATCCATTGCTGTGGCTTCTAATACCTGGCTCCAAGTGGTAAAGGTGAGTGTGGGCTCTAGAGACCTTGTTGATCTGGATCTGAGGAAAGAGGAACCACTTTATCTTTGAGTCTAGGGTTTGGGTGTTTTCCTGCAGAAGAAGACAGAGGGACTGAGGATTTTTTGCAAGGGCCCCAGAAAATATGGCTTGGTTCCAGAGATAGTCTGGTTGTTTTGCTTGGGTGAACATGAATGAAGAATGACTTAATTCTTGCGTCGTAACAGGAGGAAGATGGTCTGCAGGAGCCCTGGCAGCAGCTGGGAGAGGAGAAGAAAATCAAGCAACCAGAAGCATTGTCTGCTGCCTCTGGCACACGGCTGAACAAGACTGTAGAGGTGAGTCCTGGTTCCAGCAGAGCCCTCAAATAAAATGAGTCTGTGGCGTCTAATTGGCTCCTGTGGTTTGGAGCCAGCCTGCAGATTTATTATCCATCAGTGATGGAGCAGGAAATGAAGTCCTCAAGTGTAGGCTGTTGGGGTTTAACAGGCATCTGTGCAGAGGATGGGGATGTCTGTCGTCTTGGGTGCTTGGCCGAGAGCTCAGCCAGCACAGGGGGAACCTGAAGGAAAAACAAGTGTTTTATCTCGGAAAAGAGGTTGGAAATGGCCACAGGATGGCAGCACATCATGAGGCGTCAGCTTAGCCTGCAGCGCCTGGAGAGGCACTGTAGCAGCCTGATTCCGGCCTGACGGTGAAGTCTGGCTGTTAGGTCTCCAGAGCCTGTTTGAATTGGAGCTGCTTAGACCTGATAACTGGAGGGGTGGGGAAAAAGCTGCTCAGTCAGGCTTGAGTACTGCCTCTGCCGGTAAACCCTCTTGTCTTGGGGCTGACGGGCTCCTCTTCTTCCTGCTCGACTTCTCTATGCTGTGACTCATGTCGGAGCTCTAGAGAATGAAAAGCAGATTTGCTATGAAACGTGTCGAAAGGGTTTGAGTGGTAGAGCCATGTGTGCAAAAGCCAAGTGCTTACAATACATGGTATGTCCTTCTAAGGCTTTTTGACAAGAAACAGGAGGGGAAAAGGGTTAAAAGTAGTTACCAAGTCACTGAGCACAGTGACAGTTTTTGTATTTGTACAGATGTGTGTATACTTCTGCATTCCCTTAATGCAAAGAGGCCTGCAGAATTAGGTTTGCCTTCCTGGTTGTCCCCTGGTCAGCACCTCTAGGTACTCCTGTACTACATACGACTGTCGGGTCTTCTAGTCATCCCTGTTCCTCACCTCAAAGCCAGGCGGTGTCTCCGAGCTTTGGCTTGCGCGGTTCTGACTTGCAGCTTCAATGTGAAACGGAGCCCTGGCTCTTTCCTGGCCGGGTACTGGCAGGCCCTTCCTGGCAGCTTGGAAGCTGCAGGGTAGGCAAGCGGCTGTTTCAGCGCTGCATTTCGCAGTCCCTGCTGCAGTACACGGTCCCGTGCTACAGCTTGGCTGTCGAGGGGGCCATGGTTTCAAAGCAAAGTTCAGTTAAAAAAAAAAAAGCCAAAAGCATTTGAGCACTTCTGGGTTTTACCAAAAAACTCAACCCCAGTTACCTGTCAGGTAGGAATATTATAGATGTTCCAGTTAACGTGTAGATCAAAGGCTTCCCATACGCAGGTAGGTGACCTTTTTGGCTCTCCTGTTTTTTGAACTAGGGGTGAAAATGAGTGTGAATGAAGCATCTGCTCTAGAAAGTCAGCTGTCAGCTCTTGTTTCTGGCAACCTTCCCTTTACAGTGAAGTTCCTTGCCCAGCACGTGGCATTGAACTTGCCTCTTAACTCATGGCTTATGCTCAGCGTGAGGGTACCGTCTAGATGCCTTAACAGCATCTGGCTGTGGGATCTAAGCTGGCACAGTCTGTTCGTCCTGCTGGTGCCAGAGCTCTGAGGTGCCTGCGAAGGGTCAGACCACATGGGTCTGGTAGTCAGCCTGCCCCGGCAAGGCAAGCTCTCCTGCCGGACTGGAAGGTCTGCTTCCTCCTCTAATCGATGCGCTCTCTGTGGTTTCAGAAATCTATCTCCACATCCTACTTAGGGCCCCCGAAGGGCACAAAGGAATCCAGATCCCCAAAGGTAAATGAAAATAACTACGGGATGGATCTGAACAGTGATGACTCCACAGATGATGAGAATGAACCTCGGAAGCCTGTCCCTGCCTGGGCCGATGGTAGGTGCCAAGTTTGCTTCGGTTTCCTTTAATTCCTTCCCTGGGAAGCTGGAGCTTTCCAGACTGACTTGGTGCAATCTCAGCTTCCCGAAGCGCAGTCCAGGAGCCTGTGAGGCTTCAGCAGTGCTGGCAGCTGCTGGCTCTGGGCGGCGAGGGCGACTGGAGCTGCATTCCTGCAAGTGCTGTTGTGTTGAAGTCAAACCAAAGACCTCCACGCACGTGTTTGGATCCGAGGGTGCGAAAAGAATGGTGGGGGCTCACTAGTAATGAGGCAGCCCGTCCTCCTGAGGGAAACCAAGGTGTGGTGGGTTTGGGATATGTCAAGTGTGCTGAGTAACTTAAAACAAGTGCTGCTGGCAACCTGAAGATGGGTGTGGGGTTCACAGCTTTGCAATGAGCAGGAAAAACATTAATCACACTCACTGTATGGCTAATAGTTTTTTCAGGCGTGGAAGAAGAGTAATTGTCCTGCAGGCTCCAAGGGAAAGGGCACCTTAAGCAGAACACTGAAAACTTCCTTATAATGAGTCTGCTTCTCTGATATGGTTGTTTCCGTAGGGTCTCAGCTGAATCAAGCCATTTTACACCAATACTATCACCCAGTGAATGTTGACCAACTCTTTGGGCTAATTCCAAGCCCTAAGCTGGAGGATATTTTTGGCAAGAGCAAGCCTCGATACTTCAAGCGCACGAGCTCAGCGGTTTGGCATTCCCCCCCTGGGACCAAATCTACCTGTGGCCCATCTTGCAACTTCAAAAACTGAGAAAACGCGAAGAAATGTGTTTTATGGATACAATATGGTGTATCAGTTTCTGTCTTAGCATGCAGCATATTTACAATTTTAAGCCCTTTTTTTTGTACAAAAATAAAAATATTGAATAAAATCCTGTTGCAATAAACATTCTATCAGTGTTTGTGGTCATCATGGTGGGGTGATGCTTCTGGATGGCTGATTTGAGATCGATGGCTGTGGTGTCTGCAAGTGAAAATGCAGATGTTTGAAGACGTGATACTGCAGCATTACATGTTTCCTCAGATTGCTTGCAGAATCTTACACAAGGAAGCTGTGAAATGGCTTTAGGGAAGATCAAATTTTTTAGTCACCCTGAGGGGGTAATGTTTTCATAACCCATTCTGTACTTATATTTATGTATTTAACAATGCTTCTCTCTGCAAGTAGTTTTCCTTCAAGAATTCTTGTGACCTCTTGTTACTCTGAACCAGAATCTTTTTCCTGCAGTTAGAAAAATCTGCTTGGACAGTTTAAGCAGTGTCTAAATGTCTTGTCACTGTTCTTTTCTAATGGAAAAATGAAGCCTAAGCTAAGTTCTTGGTCCTGTTTTTCTAGGAGGCTTCAGTGTATAGTCTTGCTTGGGCAGGAGGCAGATTTATTTGGAAGCTGTGGCTTGCAAAGGGTAAGTGCTACAATGATTTCCTTAGGACCGTGTTGGTATCGCCCGCTGCCTGTCTCCTGCCCGTGCGCACCCTGGGGCGCGCTTAGTGGCAGCAGGCATCTCCTGGCTCCCGCAGCGCGTCCCGAGCCCTGGGAAGCGGTTGCCTGGGGACTGCTGCGGCACGCCGGGGTGGCTGTGGGGGGTGCCAAGGCCCTGCAGAGCTGCACGGGGACAGCCGCGCACCCGCGCTGCGTCTCGGCTGCCCTTACGGCCCCTGGAGGGCTGGCCGGTGCGGCCAGCGGCATTCCAAGAGCGATTTGGCTAACTAAACCCTCCTGACAGCAGCGATGAGGAAGATACTTAGATGAAAAGGGAAAGTGCCTGAGTCGGAGCCAAGTCCCACACTTGCCATAATAACCTTTCCTTCCTCTTTCTTCAGTTCTCCCCTCTCGGGCTCTGCTCTCTAGCACGAACGCGAACACAGCAGAGGGACTCTGTCCCACCTTAGGTGACGTGATGTGTTGCTCTGGGTTCCCTTGTGCAGGTACAGGGCTGGGGCTATTTACTTCTCTGCGTGATCAGAGCTGTGAGCCTGCCCCGAGGAGGAGGAGGGTCCCTGTCCCTAGCCGGTGCAGCCCTGCACTGTCCCCGGCGCTGGCCTGGGGCCATAAGGTCTCCTTCCCCCCGACTGTCAGGTGCAGGCTGCCAAGAGCGAATACAGAAACGTGACCATGGACCTGTTCAGAGCTCTCTAGGCCTGCTTTCCTCCATTCAGGAGGTTTCACGCTGGTCAGAGTGGTTTTGTGGAGCTTTATGATGGGCCCGGATGGCTTTGAATAGTTTAGAAGAGTTTGCAAGTGTCCTGGTGGAAGAGTCTTGCAGGCAGTTAGAGCTTCTGATGGGTCTTTACAACTTTGAGCTCCGCAGAGCTGGTGACAGTGGTTGAGATGAGCTTGGCAGAGGCAGAGAGCAGCTCAGAGTGCGTGAGCGGAGCTCTATAGCAGCTAAAGGCTGTTTAAAGCTGCTTGCCGGGAGCTCCGTCCTGGCTGCTGGATTGCCTCCCAACTCCTGGGTCCCCCCAGCTTTTCTGTTCATTTTGGGCTCGCCCGTTGTCCCACTGGATGTCTGTGGGGCTCTCGGTGACTCTTGCTCTTCTGGCTGGTCTCTCTTGGGTCCCCCTGAGCTCTCTGGGGTTATCTCAGTGTCTTTTTGGCTCTCTCAGGTCCTCCCAGGATTTCAGTGTCCCTCAGGTCTTGCAGCCTCTCTCACAGTGTTACCCAAAGGAATAACTCATAAAGTATAAGACACATTTGACTTAGTTTTTACTGAAAGAGGCTGAGCCCGTTGGCGGGGCGTGATCAAACGATCACAGCTGTACCCATGGAGATTGCTCCTGCCACCTCCCCATCAATGCACTAAGTTTTGGGGGCACTGACAGTGCTCTCCCCAGGGCAGCAGCAGTCAAAGGCTCCAGCTGCTCCCGCGGCTCTGGTGGTCACCTCGGACCATTCCCACCTCTCTCCTGTTCCCCGCTGCTTCTGTCCCGTCCCAGCTGCACCCCACTCCTTCCTCTCACACAGGGTGCTGCAGAGCTGACCTCAGCCTATGTGGCAACACCCTCACTTTGTCTTTCTTGGATCCGATGGGGTTTTTTTGGTTTCTGACCCTCCTGGGTTCCTCTGCGCTTTCCTGGGTGCTCTGGGCTCCCTTGGTTCAGCTCTCTGGGGCTCTCTTGGATTCACCTGGGCTTTCCCGGTCCCTCTGGGGCTCTCTTAGCATCACTTGAGCTCTCTTGGGATCTCCCTGGAGGTTTTTTTCCCCCCAGTTTCTCTGAGCTTTCTTGGAGTCTCTCGATCCCTCTCACTAGTGGCTTTCTCAGGTGCTTTCAGGGTGGCCATGGCACCTCTGAGCTTTCTTAATCTCTGCAGACTGTCTGGGATGCTCTTGTGTTGCCCATTTCCCCAGGCTCTCTTGGGCTATTTCAGGCTCCCCTGGTGTTCTCAGGCTCCCCTGAGCACAGACTCCGGCTGTTCCCTGCCAGCTGGCTTCTGTCCCTCATGGTAATCCTCAAATTACCTCGTTAGACATCGCCAAGGAGGCAATGATTTCCGGACCCTGGCAGAGGATGGGAGCCGGAGGTCAGGCTTTCATCTGGAGCTGGCTAGAGGTGCCTGGCTGCAGGAGGGCTGAGGTTTGCTGGCAGGAGGGAGGGGGGGGCGTCAGTCAGCGTCGTGCTTGGGGATGAACAGGTTTTGTTTCAGCCCCACGCTGAAACACGGCACGAGCCACGCCCGTCAAACCACAGGCTTGTGGTTTTCAACACCCGTGAGCCACCAGGCCAGCGCCCCTCGCTGAAGCGAGTCCTGCTTGTCAAATGTATCCTATATTCAGGTTGGGTTTTACTTCTTTCAGAGCAGCCAGCTTCTGTAACGTCTCTTCATTGAATCCAGATTTCTTCAGCCTTTGGAGAGGAGAAGGAAAGAGGTTAAAGCCACACAAGCTATTGACTGTTGGCCACGACATTGCACAGCCAAAAAAAAAAAAGGACAAAACCCAGCCACTGTGGGGTTTTTCTGGTGTTGTCTGGCCCCTGTCCTAGCTGGCTTTTTCTGCTTCAGCAAGCGGAGAGCGTGGGGGAGACCGAGGCT